AATATCACCAAAATTAGGTATTTAGATTTGGTGGTGTTACAATATATGTTCACATTATAGTGAACCAAAAAAGTGACGAGTAAGTGTAAATTTTCTCATCCACCGAATTGATCTTCTCCAACAACTTGATGACATTATGATTCAATTCATTCAATTGTCTAACGTGTATTTAACGTACTTTGGATTGGCTTCTCAATGTTGGTTGAACCTCGTCATCTAATGAACCCCATGCATATGACACCATCCTAAAAATATAAATAAAATCAATCCATATATGCAATTCGTAATGTAGCAATCGAACAATTATGACATTTTCAAAATCTACGATTAAGATTTCTTTTAGTGTGCGATGTATGTAACTTCATATATGCACTACATCTACGATACTACCATGGCTGCAAATCACTGATTGCATGAGTAATAGAGATTATGTATCTCCCAATCTCATGTAGTCCAGGTTAGCACACCAAGATACGAGTTGAACTTTGTCATTGTCCAAATCACAACAATTTAGATCAAAAATCATCATCACAACCTCACAACAATTTAGATCAAAAATCATCATCACAACCCCTTCATTTGTAACTACTATATCACAAAAATGAATCACAGAAAATCATCGACAGGAAACTCCATCACAAGACCATTGATTAAAAATTCAATCACAAAATCATTGATGTATAACAATGCCTTAATTAACAAATCACCATAAAAAAGAGGCAGAAAATAAAGGCACAGGCCAATATTTGGGCAAGAAAAATAATGTGAAATCTTAAAACCATTGTGTGAAAAGGCCATCTCAAGATCATTTACAAAGATTGCCATCTCAATAAATAAGGCAGAAAATAAGGGTATTATCGCAACACGTTCGATATAGGGGAGCGAAAAAGTACATACTGTGAGAGATAGAGTTTTCTATGACAGCTATGGGAAGGAAGTTTCTAGCGAAAATGACTCTGACTATTGTTTAGTGATGACAATTTACCCTTTCTCGCCCCGCCCCGCCCCGCCCCGAATGGGGCAAAAAAACCCACCCCTTCGCAGGGTGCGGGGCATCCTCGCCCCGAACCCGCCACGTGATTTTTTTTTTAATATATTAAAAGGTTAGAGTTCATTGGTTCAACTTACTTTAAATAGAAGGATGTGACTTATTTTCTAGTATCCTCAATTGTATAAGTCTTATCAAACTTGACTAATTTATATATATCATTATGCTACTTTGTCAAATTGATATTATATTGATAAAAATAAATATAAAAAGATATAATATGTTCAACTAAACAAATTTGAAAATCTATATATTGTAATAAATTAAAGTGTGTTGGGTTACAACTTTTATGACTATATCAAAGGAAAAAATACAAAAAACTTTGTTCATCCTAATAATTAATGTTATGTACCAATAGCGACAATTATATTTAAGATTTGTAGTGTTTATTTTGGATATTAACTTTGTTAGTTTGAATGTTATCTATATTTTATTGAACTCGAAATTTTAAAAAAAAAAGGGGCAAGAAACGGGGCAAGACCACTACTGGGGCGCCGCGGCGGATGGGAGAAACGGAAATTAGGAGGCACAGCGTGTTCGAATGAGAAGGGGAAAAGTACATTGACGATAAACGAAAAGGAAGAACAAGGAAAAGTGAAGGGGATTAAAAAAATAAAAAATAAATAAAATAAAATAAAATTGGCCCGCAACTAACGTGGGATTGCCACCTGAGCATTGGGCATCGTGTCTCCCGGGCGGCAAGAGATCAACCCGACTATATAAATTGGGTCGTCAATCACAAACTTCATTGTATCATTTATACCTTGCACACAACGGTTGCCCTTCACTGCTTTCTCTCAAATTCAGTAAATGGGCAGTCACGTTGACAGAGTGAATCTGGCGGTGATCATCAAGAACCCATTAAACGATGAAGAATTTCTTCTCATCAAGCAAACCCCACCACCCAAATTCAACGATCCTGAATATGATTCTTACCAAGATTCTGACCTCTGGGATTTGCCTTTCGCACCTTTGAGTTCACTGGATTCTCCATTAAGTCAACATACTTCGGTTGGAGCCGAGGATTCATCTCTATTGGAAAAAATTGGTTTATTGAATCAGTTTGATCTTAAATTAGCTCTCGATCAGGTATCCTACTCAATTAAACTGGAAAAGAAATAAGTATCTAGTTTTACTTTATTTTTTAAAATCCGGCTAGAATGTGGAAATTGAAATGAGATTCTTGAATAACCTGGTTGCAATCGATACAAATAGTCTGTCTTTTTCATTTCCCATAAAAGAAAATGTGATTCCTAGCACAGCACATTCATTATACTTTACTTTGGCTTAAGATTTGCAGCGGTCCTGTTTAGCATTGAACGCCATTTCGAAATCGACTGTAATTACATGCTATGCTGAAATGTGACAACATATTTATGTGTTGAGCATAGGCAACCTAATTGTTAAGGTTCAACTCTACCTTTTAGTTTGATCCTTAAAAAGAGTGGTTGGGGAGGGGAAGTTGCCCCCTTTAGTAGGTTCAAAATGATTGTCAATGTACTTACTAAGCAAGCTTGGATCATTCTAGTTCATTTGAGCTGAATACGCTCGGTGCTCGGTGCTCCATCCTCGACAAGTTGAATTTTGGACACATTAGCTGTCAAAGTAATAATGAATTTGGCTAGTTCATGAAAACAAACAAGTGCGAGAAGAGGCTGAGATGAGCCTGATATGGGACGCTTTTAAAAGTAGATCCAGGTTTCCATTTTACATAGGGTCCATATGTAATCTATTAAAAAATCTGGTATTTATTTACTGACATTTCAAATGGTTACGTTGAATTTACTGAGACTTAATTAAATTAGGTTATCACAGATTTTCCGTTTTTATGTGAAGGGAAAGAATGTGCTAATTTTTAATCTCATATAATACTGATCATATTTAAACTGATTATTTGTAACCTGTACTTTCTCATCTGAAACAGACCGCTGATGAATGATGAATAAAGAACAATTTTTTTAGCTGCCTGTATTGGTCTGAGTCCACCATGTTTTTCATTTCCTTTCCCTTGTCATACCAAAAAAAAGTTTGGCCTTATAGTAATTGGATGGTTTGATTGTATATCATGGTCCATACCTCTTAGAAAAATTTGTTTGCTATTGCTGAATATTTTTATCTGAGTATGTTAAAAAAATTCTGGATTTTCATTCTTGTTTTTCTTATTTGTATATGTTGGAGTTAGTACCAATAGTAGTTATTGAGAATACATTACAAGTCCTGAAAATCATATGTAGCTAGTGTTGGTGTTTTATATTTATTTTTAATGACTTTGGTATAGGTGCTGAATCAAGTGGGCTTTGGGACAGCCAGTGAGGTAAAGTGGAAGTTCTTGAAGTATGTAGAAGAGCCTGAATTTGGTCCTGGAATCCCGGTTAAGACTGCGTATCTCGTTGGAAAATTGGGACCCCGAGATGGGAAATTAAAAGGTCCGATCGTGTTATTGTAGATACTTTTGACAGCAATTTATCGATATCAGGGATTTTAAGAGCTTAAATTTGTACGATTCCATGCACCATTTTGCTGGGGCTTATAAAGATAGACTCTTTAATTCTACATTTATTGAAAAAAAAAAAAATTGAAATAAGTGCTTGCAACAACTGGCTCAGGGAACAATAAAATGTTGATTTTATTTCTTTCATCTTATAAAGTGCATAATTGCTGGCGATCATGTATAGGGCATGCTGGATTTGCAATATCGCCTCTATAAAGTTTTTTTTTTAACATTTTTATAGCACATCTTTTAGTTTCATAAAAAGAGACTTTCTTCTGAATAGAAAAGAGAATTATCTATAAATGCTTTCATTGATACTTAGTCATTTCTTTGAGGCTTAAATAATTTATGTTGTACCTACATGCAGATATCTGTAAGTGGATGAGCACCAAAGGCTGCACTGATATGCTTATTGAAGTGAAGCCTCATAATGATCGTATAGGACCACTAATTTTCATTGGTTGTCTGAATGATTCAATGAAATCCTCAAAATTGCAAATCTCTTCCACTTTGAGATGTCAGGTTTGTTTTTTGCGGTATTGATTGGGTTTTGTGAGCTAAATCAATCTCCGTATCATAATAACACCCCCCCCCAACACAATTTCCTGTATGGACCTTTCTGAGCGTGGGTAATGATAATGTTGGATTGACAACCAACCCGATCTTTAAGAAAACTGATTTTTCACTAATTCAAGTCCTATAATATTTGTTTTCATAGTTCAACCACCATCCTACTATTGGATTAAAATACCCTGTCATGTTGTTTGCTGTGGGAAGTTGGACTTTACAAATAAGAAATAATGGAAAGCAAGTTTCAGTTATCACCCCAATCTCAACAGTGTGGAAAATGTCAAGATTGGAATATTTTGACATCAGGTCCTCAAAATTTTTTCCCGTTCTCTTCTTATTAATTATCTTTTTTGATGCAGTGGTCCTGGTCTGGAATAAATAGTCAATACTCATCTTATATGTGACACAATTATTGATGGTGGCATAGGCATTGGAAAACTGGTTGCAGCCGGAGAATTTCATTGTTTCCAGTCCTAGTGTTGGAACTTTATTTCTTAGAAACTAATGCAGGCCTGAACCAAAGCCCTTACTTTCAACTGTCGCTTAAGGTTTTAATGGGTTACATGAACAACTAGAATAGTAGAAGCATTTGCACTGGCTTAGTGTCCATGTGGGATATGGACTCTACAGAGTTCTATGTTATGTACATCATGCTTCACTCAATTATGCTTATCCTAAATTACATGTCATTAACTTAGAAATGTTCAGATATTTGTAAAAATCTTGCTCGAGATAAGTCCAAATCTTGTCTCTTGATATTTTCTGACATTCAGCTATACACTCTAAAGTGTCTGGAGCGATTCAATTTTCTTTATTGACTGAATTTTTAGTCAGACTTAAATATGTACATGCAGTTTCACTTTGTTGATGTTGATGTTTTGTTTATATTGCTTAAATAAAATCACAGTTTGTTTATTATGCAGGAGTATCCTCCAGGTGTTAAACTTATTCCCATGGGAAGCAGAACAGCAAAGCCTTTCCACACTACAAACTTAGTTGTATTTTTTCCTGGGACTAGTTATGATGGCTGCGATGGTGATAGTTTTGTTACTTGTGGAGAGGCATTGATTGTTGATCCAGGATGCAAGTCTATTATGCATAAAGAGGTACAGTAAGAAAAAGAAAAAAAAATGGAAAGAGGTGAATGATGTATCACTTTAAAAATTGAATTGTACAGACTTATAGTCCTTAAAAAATGGACACTTTATGCGTGATCCTTCCTAATTGAAACTCTTTAAAACAATTTTGACAAACGGTTCCGTGTAGGACCTGCTATGAAATTTGGATTTGGTGAATGTCACACCACGGAATTGTGTAAATGATTATTTTTGAACTGTGAACTCGGTGCCTGCTTGAGAAATTCAAGGATCAGTTCAGTTACGTAGTCATCGTTTTTAAGTCAGCTGTTGTTCTTTGGTTTTAGAGTGGTTCAATTTATAAAATAAAATGCACAATAATGATAGTAATATATTTCTCAATTTAGCATTCGCTTGTGTTTCAAGTGAGTTACCAAAGGAAATATTACCTTGGCCGAATTAGTTACTGTATTCGCATTCTGCTATTCACCTTAAACTGACATCGGAAGAGAACTTTGCGGAATGGCCATAGATATTGCTTTTAGTTAGTAACGAGTATTGCTATTTCATAAAAACTTTGTAACTAAATCAATCTTTGATTTGATGCTATGAATGTTTGCCCAATTACTATTAATCATGCCATTTGTTCTGCTTTCTCTTGCACTGTCAGCTCGAACAAATCATTGCTGCACTTCCACGAAAGTTGATCGTTTTTGTAACCCATCATCATCATGATCATGTTGACGGTAAGCATTTGAAAATATAATCTGCATCTAGAATTTTCACTTTGTTTTAACGGACTTTTCATTATTTATTTATTTATTTATTTTTTTAATGTTTAGAAAATTATGATGGAGGTGTTCTCATTCCTAAATAATTGTAAAATGGATATAAAAGAATTACATAGGATGCAATCATAATTATTGCACCTGTTAATTAGTTCTCTTTCCATTTTTGGTAGTCGTTCTAGTTACTGTTATTCTCTTCTCTGATGAACTAGTGAAAAGAAGAAAGAGATAAACGCATTAACATTTTAATGGAGCCCAAACAGGGGCTTAATGTTCTTAGATAAGTACTTTGTCTATTTTCAAAATCTTTTTACAACTGGGATAAGTTTTCTAGTCACCACGTCATTTGTTTGTATACCGAAAAGCAGAGATCAGATATCTTTTATGTGTACAGTCATTTAATTGCACTGATTGCTCTCAGGTCTCTCAATAGTTCAGAAGTGCAAACCTGATGCTGTTCTCTTGGCTCATGAAAGTACCATGCGCCGGATTCAAAAAGGTGAAGATGCCAACCATCTAATTTATGCCATGTGCCTATTGATAGGTTCACAAATGAAATTGCTAGATCCTCTTATGGAAGTTGCAAAATTTATCTTTTTTTTTAATTCTGACATCAAAGCAATTGATTTAAATTGCCAAGCTGAATAAATTTCAATTGAAGGCAAGGTTATGGTACATTGCAGTGCTCTAGTGTAACAGCTGAAAACTTTTGGAGTTTTGAAGATAGTTTCTGATTAAAATGTCTCAAACCAATGATGTAAGATTATGTATTGAGTAAAATAAAAAGGTTTCAAATAATAGTGGCTGGATCATCAAAATACTGTCTGTCAATAAATGTAAAAGCAGAAGAGATTGTTTTTTCTTTTGATTCTGGTATTTTAAACAGAAGAGATAATTTCGCGAATCCAATATTGATGATAGTAGGGGAAAATTGGGAAAAACTACTAGCGTCATTTGCCTTTCTGGTAAGTGGCCATCATTTGGAGACCTGAAAGGGAAGGTATCTTTCAATATGAAATGTCTGTGTGTGTGATGGTGTGGGGGTGGGGGGAGGGGCGGTACAAGATTTTTGTCACCCGATAAATGAAACTTCTGAAGTTATTTTTCTTAATGCAGATGATTGGTCTCTTGACTACGTTCCAGTTTTGGGATCTGAAGAAATTTGCATCGGTGGTCAACGGTTGAGAATCATTTCAGCTCCTGTAATTTTTATGGACAAACCTTTTTCCTCTAATCAGTTTTCAGTTTTCAATTATTTCTCTTCCTAGATATTTCTGCCTTTTGATATCTACTAGAAGCTCAACCAGTTTAAATAAATTGAGCTTCAGCCAGCAGCATTGTGTTCCCACTCTTGAACTCATTCGAGCTTTTGTCCGTTAGACTATAAGAAATAGCTTTGTGTTCCACCAGTTTTTAGTATTTCACTCCTTTTTTGCATTAGTCAAAGTTATATCATCCTCTAACTTTATGTTGAACCCCTACATAATCCTAGAGTTATGTCAGAGCTCTAATTCCTTCCTGGATGTATTTATTGCACCAGCCAATCTTGGCTTATATCTTTGGTCTTAGGGCATGAGCCTCCCTACATCATTTCAAGTCCTTGTCCTGCATATTGCTTTGGCTGTTTGTTCAAGCTACTTAATCCTTTTCTCGTGCTTGTTTTGAAATCTGCAAATTTGAGATATATGATATGTTCTGTTTTTTTTTTCCCTTTCTGTTGAAATATGTAACAATTTGTGCTTTTGGGAAATCTTGTCAGGGGCATACGGATGGTCACATGTCATTGCTTCACGTCAGTACTCACTCACTGATAGTGGGTGATCATTGTGTGGGGTAAGATACCATAGAAGAAGATTTTAATCAGATTTAATTATCCACATTGTATGAAGGGAAGGGTACTCTAATTAATTTGGCTTTCCTATCTGTACGTGATTGATGTTTCAAGAACTTTGACCATGTGTGCTGTAATGACCATATATTATTGTCCTCTGTAGAATTTCTTTAGAGATTTCAATCACGTTCGACCAAGTTAGAAGGGCCAAAAACCATGAAAAGTTTTAAGTCCCAAAAAAAAGTTATCGTATTTTACTCTTTTCCGGAGAAAGTTATCAGTGATTGCTAAAATTTCTTTTGTAATTTAATCATGTTGGACTAAGTAGTTTGTGCATCTCTTTCTGGAGATGTTTCTTTCAGTTTAAATACCTCACTTTTCTTGGTTAAGTGCTGAGCTGATGACTATATGGATTTATTTCAGCCAAGGAAGTGCCCTCTTGGATATTACATCTGGTGGAAATATGAGTGTAAGTATATTGCAATATTTTTTCTTCCATTTACTGTTATGCAAATTAGAAACGCAAATTTCTCTTCATCTTCAAAGAACCTGGTTTTTACATTTTCAATGCAATGGAGAACAAGACATGATTGGGGACATAATACACATTTTAATTTCATATAACCCCCACTCACAAGTAGCTGTAGGGCCATGGACTTTCATGTCTATTTTATTTTTTAATGTCCTAAGAGGAGCAAGGTCGTTTTTATTATTATTCTCCTTTACTGGAGATCTTATTTTAAAATTTTGACTTCTTCTACAGGATTATTTCCGCACAACTTGCAAATTTATGGATCTTTCCCCACATGTGCTGATTCCCATGCATGGTAGAGTCAACATGTGGCCGAAACACATGCTTTGTGGAT